TTGAAAAATAAGATAGCACTAATTTACTGTTAGATGAGAAAGCTTGTTTTTTTGTTTTGTTCTTAAAATCCAGAATACTGAGATTGTTCGAGAAAAGTGCATTCGTCCTTGTTCCGTATTTTTCTCGAAAAGACTTATAATCGTAGACTAATGGTCTTAAGTGAAACTCTGAACAAGCATTGAGTTCAGTTCTCTTGCTCGAAATTTCGAAGTTCGAACTAAATAGTTTGAACTCTTAGAATATGTTTCGCTTGAATAAAAAAGAAATTGTGTATTTGCTCGTTTTGCTTTTGATTCATTTAAATTTAGCGTAAAATTTTCAAATAAAGCTACAGAAATTTAATAATATTTGTGGTGATTCTTGTAAGGAGAAAAGATAAGTATCATTTCACAAGAACAATGCTGAGCTTGAGCGTACAACGGATATAAAAGTTTAATGAAAAAAAAAATAAATTCTACGAATATTGTTCTAATTTTGTTACGTTGATGACGTCTAAACAAAGGTGAAAAAACTAAAAGCATTTAGACTGTTCGTTGTTGACATGAAGATGGATATATGACAAGATAGAAAAATAAAAATACCTATTATCTTTCATTTTCACTGAGATACATTTTAATCAACTTATGTTTTTTTATTTATTCAATGCTAAAATAAGCGTGAGAAAAACAAAAAACTTTCGTTTTTCACCATGTCAACTCATAAGCTAACTGTGTTATTGAGATAAAACTGAACTATTGTTCGATGTTAAACATACCGGTGGTATTGGTATAGTTTGCTTTTCACGTGGTGTTCTACCCTGTAAATATGGATAACGAAAATCATTTTGACAGTTACTGTAACCCATTCCGATTCCGATTCCAGTTCCTAATAATACAGGCCATGGTCGACCTAGAAAATAATGATGCAAGATGCGAACATGTTCATAAATTGTCTAGAGTAATATACGTACGTTTAAATAAAACAGCAGAAAACACGATGCCTAATGCAAGACCAGATGCTAGAATAAAAAAAAATGTCTAATACAAATAATGCGTTAAAGAATTTAAATAATAACACGTTACCTGTTTTAACGAGTGTATCTGTTAAACAACGATCCCATTTCTCTCCATAAATATCATCAGAAGCGATTGTTGTCGCCGTTGTTTTAGTATTAGAATTCATATATTAGCTGAAAGAAAAGAATACTTAAAATATTCTCACGCAAAACTAGCTTGAGTTTCGATTCTAACAAGCATATGGAGAAAACATATGTTTGTCTGTTTCATACAATGAAGTTGACAATCTTACAGACTTTTGTTTGGGCTTAACATAGCATGTGTTCAGGCAGATAAAGTCAGGAGTATTATCTGAATTTACCTTAAGGCTTCATAAAATTGATTTTGTGTTTTTCAACAGTTTAAGTTTTAGAAAATTTGAATAGATTTATATCCGTTTGTATTCTTCTAAGGGAGCTCGTTGTATCCAACCAATTTTACATTTACTTTTCCTTACGGTGGGAAATATTTCAGTTAATAAGAAACCAATAAAATAAGAGAAGATGTTCTCAGATTAAGTAGACTCTAGTATTCTTAAACTAGACAATCGAAAAATTCCTGGATCGATTAAAATATAAAATAGCAAAAAATACCAGATAGCACACGCAAAAAATCCTATTTCAGTTCTAGAAAACTGAAAAAAAAGGTAAAAACAACAAACAATATTTACGTAAAATATATTCAAAAACCGCCTAGATTGATGCATATGTTAAAATGAAAAAATTAATGATCAGTGATAGCATACAAATTTTGTTTTCACCGCAATTTAGTCTAAAATTTTATTCTCATTTGCCAACGTAGCTGATTAAATGCGTGAGATATCTGTCACTCAGAGGTGCAGAATCTTCCAAAAAATAAAAAATTTCCCCACCCACGAAAAATTCCCCAGCATAGTACTTTTCAAAAATTCCCCCCAGTAGAACAACTTTTCAAAAAATTTCCCCACCCGCGCGAGTGCGCACGAGGAAGATTATGCACCTCTGCTGTCACTTTTGGTAAATGTTAGATTCTAAAGGTTGCTTGATATATCCTGCGTTTTAGAATAAAGAGACGTCGAAACTTCCATTACTGTTGAATTTTTACCAACGTTTCTGATGATATTTACAAACAAAGTGGATTGGACCACTTTGTTCCAGATCCCAATGTAGTACTACTTCTACTTTATTTCGAAACGCAGTTTCAAGTTTTTAGCAAGCAGAATCTGTAAAACTGCTGTGAGATTGTGCTCTAAAACTTGGATCAGCTAAACTTCATTTTCTCCATTTTCACAGTGGACAACACGATGAAAATTAACATTTATAAAGTCAAAGACCACCAGCCATTAGAAACACTGAATTCCTACTGGATAGGCTGAATACTACGGTAAAAGTATGGCATTACATACTAAAAAGGTTTTCTCCTGGCACTGTAACACTTTTATCGTGATTATTTGGCATCAGACATATCAATACAGTTATTGTACATATATTGATATATGCATGTCCTGTATAACTAAACACTGCAACGTGCAATGTGCAACCAATTTGCGGATTTTTAGAGCCTTAGGAAACCTTTTCCTACTTTTGATATTTATCATGGTTCCTAATTCTCAGAATTTGTATACGAATTGACTGCTTTCATATACTTCAGGAAAATTTCAACAAGTTAATATGGATTAACTGCTATGTGCAAAGTGCACGTAATTTTGAGATTTTCGGAGCCGTACGGAAACTTTTTCT